TGGCTTTGCCACTGCTAACTTTTGTGACCCATGGAATCACACAGAGCTGAGGGGACAGGCTTTCTCTAGACAACTCCCCAGCAGACTTCTGCTCCCACCCAGTGTCCCGGGGAAGTGGAAACTGGTGTCATGGGGACTCTTCAGCAGCATGGGCTATTCTCTGCAGCCCTCTGTTTGGCTGGATGGGTGTCTCTGTCCTTAGAACAGCACTGCTCCCTCATAACCTCTCATGTCCTTCTACGTCTCTTCAATAGCACAGTCACTTCAGCTTCTTCTGTTCCGGCTGGCTTCCCTCTCTGTTTTCTACTTCCGGAGTGTAAGAAGTGTGGACCACTGACAGGGGCAATCATCGGGCATCTGTGCAGGAAAAAAAAAATAGTCACCCTGCTCCAGAAGACTCGGCAGGTGCCAGAAGCTTGCTGTTTGGTGATTCCTAAAGCTGGCCTAGCAGGGAAGGAGATGCTTTCCTGTAATTACCCTCAGAGCAAAGGTTAAGTACTTTGAAATATTGAACACATTTTTAAAAGATTATTTTCCAAATTTTCAAGTGGGTAAAATGTGAGAACATCTGTTTTTAAGTTGTGGTAAAATATTCAAGTGTAAACTGCACACTGCATCTCTTTGAAGTCACTGGGTGATGAAAGTTCACATGGGAAAGGAAAGAAATGTCCCTACAAGACCCTCCTAAACCCTCCCGTCTTACAATTTTCTTTATAATACTACACCTTTCCTGGGGATTAGTGTCATAGTATTTAAATAGAGGGTTGTTTGTTTGTTTTAATGAGAGTTTTTGAAAAAATGACTCCTTTTTGGCAAGTGGGAGAAACTCCTCGGGAGTTGTTCTGGCCTCCAGAATGTTACATAAAGGAGCTGGTAGCCATGAACCCAGACATCCTCCACAGCACTATCCTGCCCTCTAAATAACAGTCTCCAATTCATGAATATTACCCAAGTTCCAGAGCACAGGAAGGCCCTATGAAGTCCTTCGGTTCCTGCGCATTTTGTATTATTTCCAATGCCTGTGTTACTGTCCCTTTAAAGAGTCCCAGGGTGAGTTACTGGTAAGGTCGGTGCAAAAATCTTTTAAGTACAATAGAGCCCCCAGCCTTCTTTTAATGCACTCCCCAATGGTAGTGTTTGGAAACATGAGCTAGTGTCTACGGAAAGATAAACTGGTCATCTGACTCACTCGATACGATGTATGATGTCTGATGAGACTGCAGAAAGTAGGAGGGAAAATATGAACCAGGAGCGGAGTCACACACCTTCAATCTCAGCACTCCAGAGGCAGAGGAGGAGGTTAGCAAGGCTGAGGCCAGCCTGGTCTGCAGAGCAATTTCCAAGCCAACCAGGACTACATAGTGAAACCCTCTCTTCAAAATCAAAGAGAAGGAAAGAAAGAGAGAGCAAGATTGACCAATTAAATATGAATATCAGATAAATAAGTGATATTTGGTAAGACTGTCTCAAATACTGTATTCTGTCTGCCCAAACTCAGTTAATTCCGATCATGACGAACCTGTGAAAATTCTCCATTATGTGTAGTAGATACTTAGAGAAACTGCTTCTGTTTTTTAAGTCTCCATTAAAGACGTAACAAATCCCTTCTCGACAAAAGAAATACATGCCAACTGAGGCATATGGCCAGTCTCACCCAGTGTATGCGCCTTGCACAGAATTGGAATCTGGGCTTCCACTCACTTCCTAAGAGCTGATAATTAGGGGAAACTAAACTACAAATGAGCACAAAGCAAAAATAGAAGGAAATGTAAGGAAACCATCCCAGCTCCCGAGGACTCAAAGTAGTCAGGATCTCCTGTCTTGTTCACTGCTGCTTTCCCTATGTCCAGCTCTTTTCCAGGACACAATAAATACTTGCATAATAAGACACAGGGAATATCCCAAGGACTGGGCCACTGCCGCGTTCAGCTCAAAAGTAGCAGTCTAATTAGGGTAGAAAATGGGAGGCAGTAAGTGAGGTTGTTTCAGAAAGAAACAAATTTTTCTGCCCTAAGTGAGACTTTGCTTCTTACATGAGGTAGAGATAAAATCCATTGAAATGTAAGTAAGAGTCCATGTGTGTCTGGTATAAGCATTTAAGATGTGAGTTTTCAAAATACTGAATACCACCACTCCATTACATAACTTCCTACTAAGGAGAGATACCCTCTGATGAAATGGAATGCCCAGGGGAAAGGCCAGGGGAAAGGCTTGACTGCATAGGAAGGACTCACCCTGAATGCAGGTGGCACCGTCCCATATGCTGAGAGGCCTGGACCATACCAAAAGGAGAATGCAGGCTGAGCACCGGCTTTCATTTCCCACAGAGAGTGTGACCGGCTTCTTCACTCTCCTGTCGCCATGCCTTCCTTATCATGATGGACCGTTTCTCCTGAACTGTGAGCCCAAAGACCCTCCCCCTCCCTGAAGTTGTTTCTTGTCAAGTATCTGTACATAGCACTGAGGAAAGGAACCGAGAAAGAAGGGGTGGGGCAGGAGATGAGTGGGTTGGGGTGCATGAGAAGGGGGTGGGATCTAATAGGATTGGGTGGCTGGGGGAGATGGGATGGGGAGGATCAGATGAACCTGAGTAGGAAGGATGGTCACAATGGGGTAGAATGGGATGAGATAATAGAAATGGAGCTGGACCACCTAAACTTAATGCTAAGCCTGTTGACCTCCCGGGTTTAATTATGCTCAAATGACATCCCAACATGCCTCAAAGGCTGTGAGTCCCTGAAGCAAAACTCACAACGTTGCCACACATCTAGTAAAGTGTTGACCAGAACTTTATTCTAAAAAACAAACAACAAACTGAACGATAGAGTGGGCGTTGTTTAACTGGCTAACCAGAAATCCACTAACGCTGTTTTGCCAAGTCTACAAAGGCAAAGATGTCTGGGGTTCCAATCTCCACAGCTGAGCACACCCCAACCTGTTTCTGCCCCTCTAATTCTTCTGCTTCTGAATTGTGCTCATTTGGAGAATTTGCTGTCTATCAGATCTGTTTTATGAGATAGCACACTAGTCAAAGAAAAAATGTAATATTTCCTTTCATAACAAGGGGATGATTGCTATTTCCATAGAAAAGAAGCATAGATTCAGTTTTCCATTCCATTGAAGGTTTTATTTTTCTGAACGTGGAGGAATCTTTTAATGGTCCATTGTTTTACTTATCCAAATTCACTTTGCAGCTTCATCAGGGAACTCAATGCATATTCTTCTCTTCCAGTCTTAATTACTAATACCAGCTCTCATGTCACACAGCACACACACATAGCAGATACGTCTGTGGGTTTACATGCATGCATGTATGTGGTTTACAAAATATATAGGCTAAAACGGCCATGGCAGAGCTCAAAAGGTTTCAGAAGTGGGCTGAGAAAGTAGGGAACAGCCGAAGCAGGAAGGACAGAGTTGGATCCAGGTCCAGAGAGATGAACCACACCACTGAGTGAACAGGCAGGCAGTAGAGTTGGCCATGTCCACACCAGGGGACCGAGCTAAGGTTAAAGTCCCATGGACATCAGGCATCAGATGATAGGCTGGTGGAGGAACACGCTGTAGTGGTGTGAGGTGACCATCACTTTATAGGATCTTGGTGAGGAAATTACACCCTTTGCTCTGTTTGGTGTGTCTGACAAATTCTTGTCTAGTTTCTCTGATCTGATTTTCAACACATTAACGTGCCTCTACATCTCAAGTCCCCCAATAAATGTATAGGATGACTCCTTTCTACTCCCAAGAATAAGTCAGTCATCAGTCTATGCTGGGGAGGCAGTGCCTGTTGCTTATATTAGCAGGAGAATTAAAGTACATTTTAAAGTGTTTTACCTCATTGAACACTTCGTTGAGCAATAAATTTGTCCTTTTCAGTTAAAAGTTCATTGCTTTAATGAAAATAAAAAAGTTAAGGCTAGAATACAAAAAGAAAAAAGATAACCATTCAAACTTTACCCAAATCAGAATCTTAAAACTGTAAGACTAGGGGCTAGAAAGATGGCTTGGTAGTTAAGAACGTGTCACTATTGCAGAGGACCGGGGTTCAGTCCTCATCCCCATACGGAAGCTCACAATCATCTGTAGACCCAGTTCAGGGAGATCCAACAACCGCTTGTGGATCCTCAGGCATTCAGATAAAACATTCCTGCACATTGTTGTAGTTAGGGTTACTATTGCTGGGATGAAACACCAGGACCAAACTAGCCTCAGGAGGAAAGGGTTTAGTTGGCTTCCACTTCCACATCACTGTTAATCATCCAAGGAAGTCGGTCGGGGCAGCATGAGTAGGAAGCCCCGGCTGCTGGACGCTGCCCACAGTCTCCGGCTCCGAGGCCGCCGCCTCCTGGAACCGCCTCCTCCTCCTCCTGGAGGTGCACCCGCACCTCCGCGTGGCGCCCCGAGCCCAGTGAGCCGGTTTGCGAGCACGTCCCGAGACCGCCCCCCACCTGCTCTCCCCCACCTCCCCCGCCTCCTTCGACGCTGCCGCCTATCCTTCCTTGATTCTTTCCCTCGGAAAAATGGTTCCGCTGCGGGCAAGGGTTATTTTCACGGCTGGGGAGATGAGTGAGTGAGTGAGTGAGTGAGTGAGTGAGTGAGTGAGTGAGTGAGTGAGTGAGTGAGTGAGTGAGTGATGAGTGAGTGAGAGAGTGAGTGAGAGAGTGAGTGAGTGAGTGAGTGAGAGAGTGAGTGAGTGATGAGTGAGTGAGTGATGAGTGAGTGAGAGAGTGAGTGAGAGAGTGAGTGAGAGAGTGAGTGAGTGAGTGAGTGAGTGAAGTGTTTGACATACAAGGACAGGAGTTCGGCACCCACTAAATGCCAGATGTATGCATCTCAGGATTGAGGGGAAGAAACAAGTCATGGGCCGCGGTCAGGATACTTCTCTGGGAATTGTTGCTGCTGCTACTACTTCACAGAGTCATACAATGAGTGTTTGGTTTAAGGAAGATTTTTCATATTTAAAAGATTTCATCTTGGGAATATAGCAAGTGAAAATTTCATTCTCTTGGGAAACATTTTCCTCCTAATAAATTATACTTGTAATGGGTGACATGGCAGACAACTCAGTTTCATATAGTGGTGTGAAAAACTCTTTGAAGGAAGCTAATCATGATGGAGACTTTGGAATTACACTCGCAGAGCTGCGGGCTCTCATGGAGCTCAGGTCCACAGATGCATTACAGAAGATACAGGAAAGCTATGGAGATGTCTATGGAATTTGCACCAAGTTGAAAACATCTCCCAATGAAGGTTTAAGTGGAAATCCTGCAGATTTGGAAAGAAGAGAAGCAGTGTTTGGAAAGAACTTTATACCTCCTAAGAAGTCAAAAACCTTCCTTCAACTAGTATGGGAAGCATTACAAGATGTCACTTTAATTATACTAGAAATCGCAGCCATAGTCTCATTGGGCCTTTCTTTTTATCATCCTCCAGAAGGGGATGCTGAACTTTGTGGAGAAGTTTCTGTCAGAGAAGAAGAAGGTGAAGGTGAAACCGGATGGATTGAAGGAGCCTCGATCCTCTTGTCAGTCGTGTGTGTGGTGTTAGTGACAGCCTTCAATGACTGGAGTAAGGAGAAGCAGTTCCGAGGTTTGCAAAGTCAAATTGAACAGGAACAGAAGTTCACGGTCATCAGGAGCGGTCAAGTCATCCAGATACCTGTAGCTGACATTATGGTTGGAGACATCGCCCAAGTGAAGTATGGCGATCTCCTCCCGGCTGATGGCATACTGATTCAAGGCAATGACCTGAAAGTTGATGAAAGTTCGTTGACTGGTGAATCGGATCATGTTAAGAAGTCTCTAGATAAGGATCCCTTACTTCTGTCGGGTACCCATGTCATGGAAGGTTCTGGGAAAATGGTAGTTACAGCTGTAGGTGTGAATTCTCAAACTGGAATTATCTTTACCTTACTGGGAGCTGGAGGTGAAGAATATGAAAAGAAAGGTAAGAAGAAAAAAGAAAAGGAAAATAAGAAACAAGATGGAGCTATTGAGAATCGCAACAAAGCAAAAGCCCAGGACGGTGCAGCCAAGGAAATGCAGCCTTTGAAGAGCGAAGAAGGTGCAGCCAAGGAAATGCAGCCTTTGAAGAGCGAAGAAGGTGCAGCCAAGGAAATGCAGCCTTTGAAGAACGAAGAAGGGGAGGACGGCGATGTAAAGGACAAGAAGAAAGCAAATCTGCCAAAAAAAGAAAAGTCCGTTCTACAAGGGAAACTGACGAAACTGGCTGTTCAGATTGGCAAAGCAGGTCTACTGATGTCTACCGTCACAGTTATCATCCTAGTATTATATTTTGTGATTGATACCTTCTGGGTCCAGAGGAGACCATGGCTTGCTGAGTGCACTCCGATCTACATACAGCACTTTGTGAAGTTCTTCATTATTGGAGTCACGGTTCTAGTGGTTGCAGTGCCCGAAGGTCTGCCGCTGGCGGTCACCATCTCATTGGCCTACTCAGTCAAGAAAATGATGAAGGATAATAACTTAGTGAGGCATCTGGATGCTTGCGAGACCATGGGGAACGCTACAGCGATCTGTTCAGATAAAACGGGAACATTGACAATGAACCGAATGACAGTTGTTCAGGCTTACATAAGTGAACAGCATTACAAAAAGATTCCTGAACCAGAAGCTATTCCTCCAAATATTCTGTCCTATCTAGTAACAGGAATTTCTGTGAATTGTGCTTATACATCAAAAATATTGCCGCCAGAGAAAGAGGGTGGATTACCTCGTCGTGTGGGTAATAAAACAGACTGTGCCTTGTTGGGATTTCTCTTGGATTTAAAACGGGATTATCAAGATGTTAGAAATGAAATACCAGAAGAAGCATTGTACAAAGTCTACACCTTCAATTCTGTTAGGAAGTCCATGAGTACAGTCCTGAAAAATTCAGATGGAAGTTACCGCATCTTCAGCAAGGGCGCATCTGAGATAATGCTGAAAAAGTGTTTCAAAATCTTGAGTGCTAACGGTGAGGCAAAAGCATTCAGCCCCAGGGACCGTGATGATATTGTGAAAACTGTGATTGAGCCGATGGCATCAGAAGGCCTGAGAACCATCTGTCTGGCGTTCAGAGATTTTCCATCGGGAGAGCCAGAACCAGAGTGGGACAACGAGAATGATGTCATCACTGGCCTTACCTGCATTGCTGTTGTGGGGATTGAAGATCCTGTGAGGCCTGAGGTACCAGAGGCAATAAAGAAGTGTCAGAGAGCTGGAATTACTGTGCGCATGGTCACTGGTGATAATATTAATACTGCTCGTGCTATTGCTACCAAATGTGGTATTTTACAGCCAGGGGAAGATTTCCTTTGCTTAGAAGGTAAAGATTTTAACCGAAGAATACGAAATGAGAAAGGAGAGATTGAACAAGAGAGGATAGACAAGATTTGGCCAAAGCTTCGAGTCCTCGCAAGATCCTCTCCCACTGACAAACATACACTGGTTAAAGGTATAATTGATAGCACTGTCTCCGAGCAACGTCAGATTGTGGCTGTAACTGGTGATGGTACAAATGACAGCCCTGCACTAAAGAAAGCAGATGTTGGATTTGCAATGGGCATTGCTGGAACTGATGTGGCTAAAGAAGCATCTGATATTATTCTCACAGATGACAACTTTACAAGCATTGTTAAAGCAGTTATGTGGGGACGAAATGTCTATGACAGCATCTCAAAGTTCCTTCAGTTCCAGCTTACTGTTAATGTAGGAGCAGTGATTGTTGCTTTCACGGGTGCTTGTATTACTCAAGATTCACCACTTAAGGCGGTACAGATGCTGTGGGTAAACCTCATCATGGACACACTGGCTTCCCTGGCCCTGGCAACAGAACCACCTACCGAATCACTCCTGCTTCAGAAGCCTTATGGTAGAAATAAGCCTCTTATCTCACGTACAATGATGAAGAATATTTTGGGTCATGCATTCTATCAACTCGTAGTGGTTTTTACACTCTTATTTGCTGGAGAGAAGTTTTTTGATATCGACAGTGGAAGGAATGCTCCTCTGCACGCTCCCCCCCTCCGAACATTACACTATTGTGTTCAATACCTTTGTGCTGATGCAGCTTTTCAATGAAATAAATGCCCGGAAAATTCATGATGAAAGAAATGTGTTTGAAGGAATCTTTAGTAATGCCATCTTCTGTACCATTGTGTTAGGCACCTTTGTGGTCCAGATACTAATTGTGCAGTTTGGTGGGAAACCTTTCAGCTGCTCAGAACTTTCAATAGAACAGTGGCTGTGGTCAATATTCCTGGGAATGGGGACCTTACTCTGGGGCCAGCTTATTTCAACAATTCCAACTAGCCGTTTAAAATTCCTAAAAGAAGCTGGTCATGGAACACGAAAGGAAAAAATACCTGAGAAGGAGTTAGCAGGGAATGTTGAAGAGATTGATCATGCCGAAAGGGAGTTGCGGCGTGGCCAGATCTTGTGGTTTAGAGGTCTGAACAGAATACGAACACAGATTCGAGTGGTGAATGCATTTCGTAGTTCTTTATATGAAAGGTTAGAAAAGCCAGAATTAAGAAGTTCAATCCACAACTTTATAACACACCCTAAGTTTAGGATAGAAGATTCAGAGCCTCCCATCCCTCTTATTGACGACACTGATGCTAAAGAGGGCACTCCTACAAAACGCAACTCCAGCCCTCCACCCTCTCCTAACAAAAATAACAATGCTGTTGACAGCGGAACTCACCTTACAGAAGAGACGAACAAGTCTGCTACCTCTTCATCCCCAGGAAGCCCACTACATAGTTTGGAAACCCCACTCTGATTGTAAGCTGAATGTTAACACACTCGCTACATTGTAAAGAAACAAACTGAAACTGAGTCTTTTCACATATTGTGACGGACAAGATAGTATTTCTTGTCTTTGGACTTCAACAGAAGACACACTTGTACAAATGTAGATTTATTTTAAAAAAAAATGCAAAGCTTTCTGCCAGACTGAGGGTGCTTTTGAGGGGATGGGAGAAACGAACTGATGGATGAACAGCTCGGCATAAGTGACCTGTGGATCATCAGTGGTGCCTAGCGAGGTCCTGACAGTGTATTAGCAGAGCTGTGGTTTATCTCAGTCCTTGATGGGAGAAAGGGAGGAGTGAAGCTGGGCAAGACAGAGAACCCTGGATCATTGAATAGATACTTTAATTTCTGCTGTTGGCTGTTAATAATTTGGATTATTTATGTTTATAAATGATACAGATCTGTTTACAAGGTTTGTAGACACTTTTTTTTGTTCTTCTTCATAGATGGGAAGCTTCCTTATAACTAATGCAGAGAAAAATTAGTCCTTCAAATACTGCTGTATTTTCAGGAAATAAAAAAGGGGTGTTTCTATTGAAACTGTGCTAAATTTTTGCCTACAATTTATCTTGTTAAATATTGTAGATAAATCACTAATACTAACAGCCAAATAGATAACACTAATGCTTTGTTTAAAAAAAAACAAAAAAAGAAAACAAAACAAGACAAAAAAAACAACAAAAAACCATGAGCAGTGGTGTTCTAATGAAGTTATGGCATCTGTCCTAATTAGTTTCTTAAATACATTTACTACTTAATGGTTTTGAGAGAACTGTTTAATTTTTAAATTTTTTGAAAACTTGCTAATAACCTTTTGTTCACAATTTAGTAGATTGTTTATTGCCAGACGTCAAATACACAATGAAAGATGCTTGAAATGCTTTTGTTATTTCAGGCAAATCAAATTAAACTATCGAAACAAAACAAACAAACAAACAAACAAAGTCGGGACAGGAACTGGAGCGGGGCAGGAACTTGGAGGCAGGAGCTGATGCAGAGGCCATGGAGGACTGCTGCTGACTGGCTTACTCATCATGGCTTGCCCAGCCTACTTTCTTCTACAACCCAGGACCACCAGGCCAGGGATGGCCCCACCTACAATGGGCTGAGCCCTCCCCCATCAATCACTAATCACAATAATGCTCTACAGGCTTGCCTAGAGCCCAATCTTACAGAGTTCTTTTCTCAGCTGGGGTTCTCTCAGATGACTCTAGCCTGTGTCAAGTTGACATGAAATTAGTCAGCACACTGGTAAAACAAAAATTAATGAATCTTAAGCAAACAAACCGTAAAACTGAGGCTTGGAATACAGCTTGGTGGGTAGAGTGCTTGTAAACATGCATGAAGTATTGCATAAACTAGGTGCCGTGATAAATGCCTGAGACCCTAACACTCTGGAGGTGGGAAGCAGAAAAATCAGAAGTTCGGGGCCAGCCTAGGATACACAAGACTCAGATTGAAGGAAGGTGGGACAGGAGGTGGGAGGGGAAGACAGAGGAAGGGAGCAGGCAGAGGAAGAGGGAGAGGAGAGAGAGAGAGTCAAATGCTTCAAGCTAGCAAGGTGAGTCAGTGGTGAAAGCACTTGGCACACAGGCCTGTTGACCTGAATGTGACCCCAGGGAGAAAGGAAGAACCAACTCTTAAGCGTTGTCCTCAGACCACCACAAATCTCCTTGGCATGTGCACATCCATACTGACACACACACACACACACACACACACACACACACACACACACACACACACACGCAATAATAATAATAACTTTTAAAATTTGTTTAAAAATCAAATATTTCATTTCAAATAAGGTAGAGAAAAGATCGGCGATTAACAGACACATACAAATTCAATATCTTAAAAACAAGAAACACATGTAATAGAATTTTTAAAAGGGTATATCCAAATGGCCAGTATGTTCATGACAAAGGGTTTAAGAAATTTGTCACCATAGAACTGGAAGTTAAAATTACAAATGACTGTCCAGCTTCCCACTGGCTTATCTTTGAGGGAGCCAGCACCCAGCAAGGAGCTGCCAAGCTGAGGCTGCGTGTGCGGCTCTTCTTTTCAGCCTGTGTCCTCTCGTTGCTCTTTTCTTTTCACTTCCTTCTTGGGTTTGCAGTGATCTTCTTCTATTTCCTCTTATTCTGACTCCTTTCTTCACTGGCCCTCAAGGAGGCATCTGGCATTCTGTCTTCTTACCCAGGAAAGTCTTGCTGTAACCTTGTCTAGTAGAATGTCTTCAAGATTACCCTGCATGTCCTGAGGCCTCATGGTCATTTTAGAAGCAGCTTGTTAACTTACACACACATACAAATCTGCTAATCTTCTGATCAAGTTTTTAATAATCTATGAATTACTTTGAGGGGGAAAAAGATAACGTTGAGACCATGAATATGGAATAGGCCTAAATTTCTTGTTTCCTTTTACTGTAGCAAATGCGTCAAGAAAAAAAGCAATGCAGAATGGGAGGCTCACAGGCTCACCCTGGTGAGGAGCGGGAGGCTCACCCCAATACAGTTTTGTTCTTTAAAGGATCTTTGCCTTGTGGGTCCCAAGTCCCAGCTGCCCACTCCTTCCTCGGTGCCTTCAAATGCAGTTTCCCTTAGTTTTTCTTTTCTTTTTCTTTTTTTTTTTTTTTTTAGTTTTAGCATGAGAGTGTGCATGTGTGCATGCGTGTGTGCAGGTGTGTAGGTCAGAGCACAGTTTTTGGGTCAGAGCATGGTTTTCGGGAATTGGTTCTCTCCTCCCACCATGTGGGTTCCAGGTATTGAACTGAGGTCTACTGACTTGCCAGCAAGCACCTTTACCCATCAAGCCATCTTCTGGACCCCTTTCCCTGTTTTTTTCTTGGAGAATCCTGTTTTTCTCTGAGACAAGTTGGACCATCAACGTTGAAAAGAGTACAAGATGAAGGTGGGACTCTGAGGTCCTAGCTGGGGCTTGTGTCTTAGTAAAGACACAAAGATGGGAAGTGCTGGGATATATTTGGGAATTAATACTCTTCTGAAAAGAAAAGATGTCTGTGAAGGACGATGAGAAATGCAGGAAAATGTCCATATGGTACCAACAGATCCTGTGCTCACCAAGCACGAGGCTTGGGGCTTTATCCTCAGTTCTCGGGTAGGAACCAAGAATTAAAGAGTAACTTGTCCCAGATCTCACAACAACCCAATTAAACAGTGGAGCCTGGATTTCAATCCAGATAGCCAGAGCTGGAGGATCTGTTTCTCACTGGACACTTATCAGTGGATCCTGAGTTGAAATCTTATTCTCCATCCACTGCAAGCTCTCAGATTTCCTTCAGGTTAACATGGCATGCCATTTAGGTCACTATGGCCACATGTGGTAGATAAGTACGTCTTTCAGTATACTTTTTATATTTAGATTTCTATGTCCTTGACCAGCCTTTGTTTGAATAAATAATAGTTTTTAAAAATCTTTTATGCTCCTGCAATTTATTGCCAAAGCATCTAAAATTCCCACTGCCCAGCTTGCTATAAATGTCATTTGTTTTCTTGAGTTTATCTTTTTGTCTTGAGTTTCTGGGCTCATACCCCCCCCCCAAAAAAAAATCTATATTTAAGAAAACAGATACGTGACTTTCATAGCTTCTCTATATATTTGTGCTTTTTCTGGCCTATTTCTACATGCTTGAAGTTGCTCATAAGCTATCTAGTTTTCACATCTATTATTATTACTTTTTAATTGTGGAAAAAATCTTTTCGATTGCATAATCTTGTCAATATTTCTGTGCATGTCTTCTGCTGGCATGGGGGATTCTAGGTGCTATAGATATTTTTAATAAATTATTTTAATTTCTCTGCTTGTGAGAATAGTGTGCATTTTACCTTTTTTTTATGCGAACGCCATCTTTTGGTGATGAATTCCTAACCTATTATTAGCTTTCCATCTCCCCTTGTTGTCTTCTCCCATTTGTTCTTTTCATTAACCTCACTGCCACCGCCTGCCTTTTGGCAGAGACACTTTAGTTTTGCATATTCTAAGTAGGTGATATTATCTGGTGTTATTTCTTCCTCACTTAAACGCTGCATACATTTACCACCTCTGAGCAACTCAGCCAATATTCTTAACTTGAGGACCCTATTGTCTTGGGCTCAGTGTTGAAGCCATCTGTTGACTCCCGATGATTTCACTAAGCACTATTTAATTTGTTCTGTTCTCGGGGTATCTGCCCTGCCTGTGGATTTAACAGATTAGCTGCCCTTTGGATCCATTATTAAAGTGATTTTTTAAAGTAAGTGGACAGTGAGAACTTTCACGTGTCCTAAAATAATGATAATGACAATAACAGCAACAAAGAGAAACTTAGCATTTATGGTGTGCCCAACCCTGTGCCAAGTGCTCGGCATCCGTCATCTCTGTCAATCCTCCCAACAGAAGTGTCCTGACAATATTAAACTAGCCTCCAATTGGCAGAGACTATTTAAACCCAGGATTTCGTGATTCCCAGGCTTATGTTCTAGCTAATTAGACACTGGCATCTTGTAGTGGGGGCATTAGGGAGTTTAATTTATTTAACTATGTTCTCACATCAACCCATGTGGATCTAGTTTCTAGATCCTCAACAAACTTTTATGAAGTGTTTTGTAAATCTGAACTTGTGGTGATATATTGTGTACCCCAATAAACTTGCCTGAGGATCAAAAGACAGAGCCAGCCACTAGATTAGACATAGAGGCCAGACAGTGGTGGCACACACACCCTTAATCCTGTCACTCAAGAAGCAGAGATCCATCCAGATCTCTGTGAGTTCAAGGCTACACTGGAAAGAGAGCCAGGCAGTGGTGGCACACACCTTTAATCCCAGTACTGGGAAGCACACACACCTTTAATCCCAGGAAGTGATGTCTGGGCAGAGAGAGGTATATAAGGCGTGAGGAAACAGAAACTCACTCTCCTTAGGCTGAGGATTTCAGAGAAGTAAGAACTAGTGACTGGCTGTTCTGCTTCTCTGATCTTTCAGCTTTCACCCTGATATCTGGCTCTGGGTTCTTTTTATTAAAAGACCATGTAAGATTCAAATAATATGAACTTCCACAATAGACAGGCCAATGTGGAAGGGGAAAAGACTTTGAGGCTTTAACCCTACACAAAGAAGTACGACTTAGACGACTAAGGAATGCTGGGATTGGGAAAAGTAGTCTTCCCCAGGAAAGAACACAGCAATTGGTTTTGCAATACCAAATGGTCAGCCCTGAAAACACAGGTAACATGCCTGACTGAGCAGGATATGTTTAGGAATATATATGTATATACATATATATACAGATACATATACATATGTATATAACAGCAATTAATGAAAACAAGAGGCCATGAATTTGAAAAAGAACAAGAATGTGTAGTGGAAGGGTTTGGAGGGAGGAAGGGAAGGGGAAAACGATGTCATTATATTACAATTCAAAAATAAAAGAAATATCTTCTTTTAAAAAAGAAAAGAAAATTAAAAAAAAAAAAACACCTAAATGTCCTCCTCCAAACTGTAGAGTTCCCACGCACTGACTAGTATAACCCAACAGATGT